GCCATCTGAGGTGGCTCGAACAAAAGAATGCGTTCCTGGCGTTCGCACGCGTGCAAACGGTAAACTTATTTTTGATGCCATCCCTAAGGGGGCTTTGCAGAAAGGTTGAACCGCGGTTTGACCGAAGTCACCGCGGTTTGTCCAATCCCTAGTTACAAGCCGACGACCGCGGTGTCCTGCTCACTTTAGATATCAGTGCAACTGACTAACAAAGCCCGTATTGTTATTGAAATACGTGCGGACCGCGGTGATCGTGGTCGGCTCCACAGAGGAATTAGGAACTGACTACAGCCACCGCATTGCCATTCCAAAAGCTGTCTAGGTACTTTTCTGGAAGCCAGCATACTGACTCCAATATTTCTTGGGCATTTTTTAAGGGGGAAAAACGCGCACATTGTATGTTTCTGTTTTGCTCCTAAGAACATACTTTTACCCCAGCTGCGTTGTTTGTGTTTTGTGATGTTGGTTTGCAGTTCTGGGAAATGATCCCCGTAATGTACATGTATACGTAAAGTAGTATTTTTGGTTGAGACCCGTAAGTGATCAGAAAATACAAAATGCCAACGAAATTTTGATAACATTAACAATCTCATGTTGTGAATAAACTGAAGCTTTAAATTTCAAGTTTCCTGCAGAAAAAATGCATTTGATTGGATTATCAGCATGCACATGTACGTATCAAGCCAGACGTCCTGCTAGAATCACACGATGCAGAAAGTATTCACGCTCTAAATCTGCAAAAAAACTGAACACATTGCAACCCTGGTGAATTTCGTTGTGAGTTTCTCTTGATGTCAACTTTACTTAGAATTTGCGTTTTTGTGAAGTGAAAACCGGCATCAACATTAGCATGTTGCCAAACGTTTTTATCCCTACTGAAATAATCATTTAAAATAAATTTTTATCCCTACTGAAATAATCATTTAAAATGAAGTCGCGTTCACATAATTTCATCAGAGATTTATGAAAGGGAGTAGATCTGCGAGCGTTGTAGTCTGTACTACTGGCCAAAGGAAGTTAAGAAGCTTCTTTTTTTTTTTGGCGCCATGATTACATACACATTTCAAATACTAAGGTTCCCCCATTTTCCACTAAATCCGATTGTTGTCCGTATAAATTACATATTTTTTCCAGCAGCAGATCCATAGTCAAACTTAAAAAAAAGGGGGAAAAGAAATGGCTTTCGGCATTCTGTGGAAGCAGCTTGAATCAAGAAATTTTTAGGGAATATTTCAGCTATGTTGAACCAAGGAAGAAAGTCGCATAGTTCTGCAAATCGCATTCCCGTGCCAATTATTTGCCGCCATGGAGACAAAGTTTGGAGATTCAAAGTGATGATGGGTACTCAAAACACTTTTGTGTAAAAAATGTTCCCAAAAATTAACCAATATTCACTGAACATGGTCACCTCGAAAAAAGTTTTCCAGTAGTAGTTTTGTGTCAAAATGTTCCAAAAAATACCCAACATTCTTTAAACATTGTCACCTCGAGAAAAATATTTTCCAGTAGCATTTTCCCCCAAACAATGGGGGAGATCTGCTTCTGCAATGAACTGCAAAAGGGTAGACCATAAAGAAGTTTGGGATTATACTTCTTGTTCTCTCTCCGCCTCCCTTGCAGCATAAACCCACCTTCAGCAAATACATGTAATGTCATACTCTCCCAATGCATTGCTCTGAAATATCCATTCCCCTCATGTGTCGGATTTTTGATACTCTTCGTACTAGGTATTTGGCATGGAAACACAATTCCACTCGCGAGGAAGGTGCATTAATTACAGACAGATTTATACATGCATTTATCAGTCACCGCTGAAATTACTGACTTCGTATTCCCACTGCAAAATACATCCGGCCTGGTGGACACATCGTCGTTCCTCCAAGTTGTCAAAAGTTCCGTGCTGATCAATATCCTCACGAACACGTATAATGTTTAAGTTGACGGCCATGCCAACTAATTAAGCTCTATTGTGTCAAAGGGAAAATGGCGACCATACGCTTATGATTGTTTCCGGATCGGTGTCTTTTTACAAAAGCGCCCAGTGCTTTGCAGAAGTCAATGTGACGGTCTTCTAAAGATGCGCAGCAGTAATTTATGTTGCCGCTGATCACCTGTCAAGTGTTAATCAAAGAAGTTCCAAACGGCGTATTAAAAAGCAGCAAAACAAAGTGTTCCTGGCATTCCAACTTGCGATTCTGTAGAGTACTGAAGTCAACGTAAATCACCGTCAAGCTCAAGCAATGCATAATCAAGTTACTGTTTCGTGGTTAACTCCAGCGAGATACGCTGGAGTTGTGGAAGATGTAGCAAGGGGAAGGCTGAAATGTAAGGATGCCGATATCGTGGCTGATGCAGTGGTGCCAGTCACCTATAAATCCGGCTGCTACAAAGCGAAGATTGTCAGAGTGCCTGGCGAGTTTTTTTGCATTTTCTTTATCTGTTTTTTCTATACTTCTATACTTCAAAACAGAAGATGGCTTTCTCGCAGGCATTAAGAAGCTGTAATTATGACTCGACCTCAGTTTTTATTTTTTTTCGAAATCTAGTTGCAATTCACATGGTTTTCACTTCATAACCCCAAATATGTGTATCCGAACTCGGCCAAATCTACGCAAGAACTAGAGTTTTAACCCAAGTTTTGCCTTGAAAAATCAAAGATTGGAATAGCTCCCTATATACCCTGCATTGTTTCAAATGACTGGCCTGCAAAATGTACAAATGAATTATCAAATCATTCGATTGGAAGTAGTTGATGGTTAACAGTATAGCTCCACACGCAAAATTTACCGCCAAAGATATTTTATGTTTCCAGATGGATGCTTTGCCTTGTAATCTATATGGTTGAACTGTTAGGCATATCAAATTTAAATACTGGGTTATGGACTAAATATTGTTCCCCAAGTTACGGGTACTTTAACGAAAGTGTCGATGGACAAAAAGTCCCCTTTTTGTTTTTGATGGTACCATGTTATTTTCATACTTTAAAGGTATATTTTCAAATTTGGTCACTGCTTTGTTTCAGGTTCTTCTACCAACCAGCACACTGACTCTGATGATGAACCGCTCGTCTCACTTGTAAAGCCAGGGGGACAAGCGCAAGGTGGAACTCAGCGATTTGTCAGCAGACAGTGGACCTGAAAGTGCCAAGCATCGACCACCATCATCTCCACCTCCTACAATGCCTCCACCTGCCCCGTCACCTCCACGTGCCCCATCGCCTCCATCCGTCACGCTGCTTCTAACTACAACATTGCCTCCACCCGCATCGCCTCCACCTGCCTTGTCACTTCCACCTGCCCCGTCACCTCCACGTGCCCTGGTGCCTCCATCTGCCATGTCACCTTCATCAGCCATGTTGCCTCCACCTGTGTCGCCTCCACCTGTCCAGTCGCCTCCACCAGCCCCCCTCATCTTTGCCTACCATGTCATCTTCACCTCCCCCATCACCACCATCTACTACATCACCTCCGCCTCCCTCCCCGAAGCCGGCTGGAGCAGATACATCACTAACAAGTGACTTTCTCAACAGCTTGTTTGCACCGACTGATGAGCTACAGGAGATAAAAGCAAACCAGAAAATGCTCCTAATGGGGTTCAGTCGGTCAAATCCAATTTGGCAAAACTCTCCCAAGAGTTCTCCTCATTTAGTGAGTTATTCAAGGACAATATTTCGGCCCTAACAACTGCACTTCTTGCGAACAATTCAGTTCCTAATCCTGTTCCATGCAGAGAAAGCCGCCGGCATCCATCCTACATCTCACCTGACTCCAACAGCAGTATCGTGACCATCGGTGATCCGGATATAGCAACCCTTGCCATCGAAAAGCGGGTCTATGAAGACGTATTCTTCAAGAGCACCAGTGGTAGTGCGCTCCTGCTAAAGCTGCTACCAATCTTCTATTCCAGGGAGGAACTGTTACAGCATTCATATAGTGGTGGTATCGCTCCAAGTAAATCGGGACCTGTTGTTAAACTAGCCCTTAGCAGAGAGGATAAATTTAAGGCCCTGTTGTGTCAAGTAGAAAAGGAGTACCCTGGATGTTCATCTGGAGCTTAGAGACAGTGTGAATGCTAAATGTCGTAAACTCTAAATATATTCAACATCGGACAGGGGAGAAACCTTTGATTTTGAAATCAACTTTTGTATGGTAGGAAATGATTTAATCACATTCTGAGCTAAGTGAATAAATGTTACAGTATATCACATATTCACACATTTTCGTTATGTACATGTAAATGGGCTGGAATGATCGGCAAATATTCCTTGATGGCAATCCCTTCACTGTGTTTCAAATCAGTTTGGCATAATTATGTTACTGTAATAACTTAATGTCTTCACGGTCTTTATGAATTTACTAATAGTGTGGGCTGAGTTCAATGCCAGAGTTTGACAATTTTACACATTATTTGCATTTGAAATTTGTAAATGGACTGAAAATATCATGATCAGAAAGTACAAGGTTACAGTAATCCCCTTAATGTGTTTTATATCAGCTTTGCACATGAAACTGCAACATATTAATATCTTTACAGTCTTCAAAAACTAACAACTAGTGTGGGCAGAGTTCAACATCATTATTTCAATGCATTCAATAAGTACCTTTTTCAAAGAAGGGAAATTCTTCTACATGCTCATAACGATGTTGTATTTACCAAAATATTTAATAACTGAATAATAAAAAGTTTTAATAAAAGTCTGGTATGCTTTCTGTAATTTATGCATTTTGACTTGTTGACAATTTTTAAAAACAGATTTTGGCAATGCTTTTAGCATAGAGAAATCGAATAAGCAAGAAATATAAGGAACTAGTCCTGGGGTTGCCAACATGTACATTACAAAATATTACCTCCAATTTGGCCATGTGATCATCCATCCCTTCAATACTCCTGACTTTCCCCCTTCTTTGGATTGCTCACCTTTCATTTTCTATCTCACACTGACACACTCCTTTCCCAGAAGAAGTTAGAAGTTACTATTCCCCATTATGATGAAATAATCGATGTGTTTTTTGGTCTGTCTTAGAAGTGAACATACACTTGCAGTACTGACATCTCCCTAGCTGCTTACTGGAGATGTAGGGCATGTCTTCATCTGGTGCACCGGTATTATTACATTCGAGTACCTCCAGGAATGAAGCAAAGTGTCCGGAATGGGTACTTGAAGGGATGGTAGAAGGGAACTTCCTGTGAAGTTTGACAGCCTCTTCATTGATGATTGAATGTCTCACACAATAGCTACACTGATCTGGTGGGAGGCATTTCACAAAAATTACCATACCAACCCGCCGATCTACATGACGTTTGAAGAAACGGACTTCTTCACACATATCCTCTTCTTGCTGGAGATTCCTATAGGACCCTGTCAGTACTTAATGGGAGTGTTCATAATCAGCTGTGGTGTATGGATGATCCTCATCATCCGACTTCTTATGGCCAACATCAATCTTTAGCCCGTCGTAGTAGAGCTTGCTCCAGTATCTGTCTAACTTTTAAAGGGCTGAATCGAAGGCCTCCCTTTCCTTCTCTCGTCTGATGTTTCCATCTGGCTCTTTGGCTGGATTGGACTTACCAGGGAGGTGGTCCAAAAGATAAATAGAAACAGATGCCCTTGTCAGTACGGACCAAACGTGCTCAATGGGGTTACGGGCTGAAAACCCTGGGCAATGGGTAGTGGCCAGCAGAACATCAAGGTGAAGATCGCGGAATAGTTCGTTCATCAAATGATTGACATTGAAGTCTGACCCCCTGTCGGCCAAGATGGTTATGCAAGTCTTCTTGCTTTCCTGGATTAGGGGGAACGAGTCGCTTGCATGGCTCGCAATACTGGTCTTGGAGTGTGGTCCTAGGTTTATCACCTTGATCCCACTCTGAGTAGGCAGGCTGAGAAAAAAAGAAACAAAATTCAGGATTACACATGCACTTTCTTTAATCATAAATTGAAAACAGGGTTGTTTGTTTTTGAGAACCAGTTCAAACCTGAAAATATTTCTCCACTCATTATTATGACAATTCCCTTCAGTCACCTGCTTTCATAATCAGGTTACTTCAGCCTTAAGACATCACTATTAAGATATTATTTTGCAGAACAAAGAGCCATGTTAATAGCCCCCCCCCCCACACTACACTTTGGAATTTACTGTCTGCTTATTTCCTTCCAGCCTGTGACTCGGTTGATAAGTTAAAGAAGATTGTGAACATGTGTCATTTGTCTTGCTTATAACCCTTAACCTTGAGTGGCTTTTAGCTTTGTTATGGGCGACTCAAATTAGAACTGTTCTAAACAAGATTTTAAAAAGTTACCTGTAAGCTTTTCGGCCATTTTTGTCATGGGTCATCTGAGGAGGGTCTGGGGGAGACATCATGAGATATCCAGCTGGCGTAATTAGATATCCAGGGTTCGGAAAGTCATGATCCCAGTAATTGGGTGTGTCATTGGAGGGAAAGATATGTGTAATGGTACATCTCCTGTCTACTGCTGTTGTGGCTGAACTAATGCGTAATTTGTTCTTGTTGTCAACAGAAATCATCAGCGATGATGGCGATGTTCTGCTACATGCCTCCAGGGCATATTTCACTCGGGCTGAGTAATAATGTTCATTATCGTTAGGATTTCGCCTGGAGTTGATCTTGGCTGGGACCTTAGCATCAATAACTCCTTTGTAGTTTTTTTGCAGAAGTCCTCAGCTTGTTTGGAGCTGTCATCCATCTGCAGATGGTGGATAAGGCTGCAAAAAAATCACAATGAAACCAATTATCCTAAACAAATGTTCAACAAATTAAAGGGTGGGTGCAATGCAGTTTTTATTCCCTTAAATCATGCCAAACAACTTATTTCTCATGTCACTATCCATTAAATTCAAATCCGTAAAAGCTATGGGCTGTAATTGCAAGTTTTGTTTTATGCTAATGAGAATTTCCACATTCATGAGTAAAGCTATGATATCATGCCAGTAACAGCAGTATTTCTACACCTGAAGTGAAATGTTAACCACTTCCAGCCGGGGGCTCCGGTAACGGAGCCATAGGCCTTATATTCGTGGCCGGGGACTCCGAAATCAGAACTTTACTATAAAAAAAAAAGTTGCTGGGCGTTTCTTAAAAAGTTTGGACTGTCAGTTAAAAAGTTTAAGCCATCATTGGCCATAAATAAATTGGTCCAAGGCAATAATGCGTTGCTGGGGCCGGTGAATTGTGACTTTATTTTATAGCCGGGATGACCGAACTTATAAAAGCCTGGAATAAAAGTACGAGCTCCTGAGAGCTGCCGGGCACTGCCAATCAATCCCTGCATTCTTTCAGCGCAGAGCGCTGCAATTAGTGGAAGTAAACTGTGTATTGTTTGTGCAGAGCGCATTTGTTCACGCTGCTGGGCGCTCACTGGGGATTATCACTGCACTGCACTGAAGACACAGCGCGGGCTGTGTGGGCTCATTATGCACCTGCGCCCCATGAGTGACCCGGCCCGGGCGCTGCTGGCCCTTGCCACGTTGACTGACAGGGCACGGCCCTTGCTGCTTGAGAATAAAAACGACGTACAGTGGCTACATGTGTTCATATTGGGTATCGTGTTATTCAGAGCACAGACAACATGGCTGAAGTTATGTCCAGAGAACGCAAGAGAACTGAAGGCCTTTCTGGGCCTTTGCATAATGACAGGAATTGCTAAGCACCCCATCCTTCTTAGCTTCTGGTCCACCGACCCACTACTGAAGATGAGCCTATTCCCGTCCGTCATGCCCCGAGATCACTTCCTTGCCATCCTGCAGTCCTTACACTTCAACGATAACACCGCCATGCCAGATGACTGCACCGACCGCCTCTTCAAAGTGCGCCAAGTCGTCGACCATCTTGCTCAGAAGTTTGCCACTGTCTACGTTCCTCAACGGGACATTTTCGTCGATGACTCTCTGCTGAAGTTTTACGGGCCTCTCTGCTTCGCTACCTACAACCCCAGAAAGAGGGCCCCCTTCGGCATCAAGATGTGCAAGTTGTGCCAGAGCACCGAGAGTGCCACCGGGTACTGCTA